TCTTCCATGGAATTATCTTTTTGTTTTGACTTACAATGTCAATTTTTGCATTCTTAATGCATGTAGTAACAAAATTCCAGTTTCTTCTTTTACAATTCATGGCCTTTGGCCAAACACAATAGGTAACACTCCTCTTAAATATTCAAACATGGTTGACTGTGTAGGTCCTAACTTTCAATTAGCAAATGTTAATCCATTGCATAATCAACTTTTTGAAACGTGGCCAAAAATTTCATTCTTTGGCCAAAACATTAAATATTATGAATTTTGGGATTATCAATGGGATAAACACGGGAAATGTAGTGTTTTTAATCAATATGAATATTTTTGAAGAGCTCTCGTCCTCAATCATATGATTAATGCCGACTATTTATTAAAGTGTAAGTATCTAATATTCTTTAAATCTCACATATTTATTTTTGAAATGCTAATTATGTTTTAATAATTTTTTTTTCATGTAATCTTCCCTCCGGCCGGCTATAAGCATACTTACTTTGTTAAAGATATCATGTATCTACATGATCAATTACAAATTCCCAAGCCGTTCGTGAGATGTGAAATGATAAATGGTTTTAATTATTTGTTAACAGAGTTGTATTATTGTGTTGAAAATACAGCTACTACTCCCATAAGTTGTGATGTATATTATTCAAATTTTTTTGGGAGCAGGTTAACAAACTGTTTTGAAGAGTCATTTTGTTTGTTTCCAGGTTACATTCGATAAAAATTATGTATTTTAAGCCTATTTAAGCCTAATGAATAAAATTAATGAATTGTTAATTTTTTTTTATTTATTTTCGCATACATATAATGACCGATTTTTCATCCCTTGTTTGCGATTATCCAATTAACACTTATTGCTTTAGGATTAAATTCATTCCCAGATTCATACATGAATCAAATTCGAATGAACTCTTCACATATAATATGTAAATCGATGCATATTTTCAATTTTCATTGATGTGCGAGTGTATTTATGGGACAAATTAAAGATTACCATAATGGTGGTTAATCTCATCCATGGATAAACAAACTTGAAGAACAATGATGAATAATAAAGAACATTGATGAACAATTTTTTTATTTTGATTATTTTAATTTAATGTTTTTTTTTATTTAATTAAAAACTGATTTTAATAAATAAATTTTGAAAATCATAAAATTATTTTCAGAAATTCAATAATTATATTTTGGAAAATAAAAATTGGATTAAAAAAGGAAAATACTAAAAATAGTGTTTGACCAAGGTTAAAAAAAAATTAAAAATTCGACCAATGATAATTAAGTATAGTGATTGTCCAAATAAAGTGGACCATAGTAGAAACATCCATTGTATTATGTTGTTTTAATGTTTGTATGTCAAGAAATAAAATTGTTTTACTTATTATCTTTAGTTTTTTAAAAATTAAATTATTAAAGGTGAAACAGGGTGAGTGATGAAAGTAAAAAGGAAATTAAAATAGTGAATTAGTGAAATTGTATATATGACGAAATTGAAAATGAAAAATTTATTATGGTTAAATGGTTAAATTTATGGCTAAATGGGTATCAACATAAAGTACAAATAAAAATAAAGTACAATTAAAAATAAAATAAAGCTATCAACCAAAAATATAGATAGTTCCTATTTATTTCAAACAAATAAAATGACCTAAATTGTATAGTCTTTAGTCTTTACCGTCATACAAGTATCCTCTTTCTCCTTCAATTTCCTTTGAAGCGCAGTCAACGTTCTCCTTTGAAGCGGAATCTGAGGTAGGATTTTTTCTAAACTAGGTTAGGTCCCGTGCCATACACGGTAATTTTTGGTGTTATTATCAATTTTACAATATTTTAATTAGTGTAAAAAATAATAGTGTAAGAAAATTGCTTGTCTAATAATATTATGAATTAAACTACAAAAATATTTATTGGAATAAGCATAGAAGATCCAATTAGCTAATTTTGTATTTAAAAGTTATGCATTTGATCATATAATTATATATCATGTATTTCACTGTGATATCATTATTTTCTTGTTAATTAAATTAATTTCTAAAGCTATACATCTACCTCACCAAATAATTCAATTCTCTTTATACTCGCTAATATATAAAATCACGCTTTTATTTTATCTCAACTCTAGCCATTTACAATATTAATCCATATCTTTCAAATAACGTACTATTATTTCTTTATTCAACCTTTCTCTTGTTATTGGATATTGGTATGTTTTAAATTATGTTTTACCAATATCTTATACAAAAAAAAAAGAAAAAAAAAAGTCATCAATCAATATATTATGTAGTTATTGGTTGATGTTTATTACTTGTACTTGTTCATTATTAAGGTAATATTAGGTTGGAAAAAATAATTTTTAATAATCTTTTATTATTAATTATTATAATCTATATGATATTTTTTCTAGTGTTGTGATTGATTTTTTTTTTTTTTTATTCTTTCTAAAAGTAAAGATTTTTTTTTAAACCTCTAAAAGTAAAGATTTAGGGCATGTTCACATTTACTGAAATGAGCTGAACTGAACTGATTAGGGCATGTTCTCTTACGTTGAAGTTCAGTTCAGCTGAGTTCAGTTCAGTTCAGTTCAGCTCAATTCAATTCAATTCAGTTCAGTTCAGTTCAGTTCAACTCCTAACTTCCTTCTCTTATAAAATATTCATTTCAGTTTAGTTTAGTTTAGTTCAGTTCAATTCAGTTCAGTTCAGTTCAGTTCAGCTGAGTTCAGTCAATGAGAACAGACCCTTAGAGTTGAATTGAATTGAACTGAACTGATTGGAACTGAACTGAACTGAGCTGAAATGAATATTTTATGTGAGAGGGAAATTAAGAGCTGAAGTGAACTGAACTGAACTGAACTGATTGGAACTGAACTAAACTGATTAGAGCTGAACTGAACTGAAATTAAGTAAATGTGAACAGGCCCTTAGACTATAATTAATTTTTTATTCTTTCAAAAAGTAAAGATTTAGACTATAATTAATTTTTAATAATTAAGGCAAATTACATATTAGTTAACTTTTTTTTTTACCTCCTTACAACTTTACTTAATTGGTGTTTCTAAAAAAAAAAAAAAAAAAAAAAAAAAAAAAAAAAAAAAAAAAAAAAAACTAACTTAAGGACACACCAAAAGATGACACGTTTCATTGCTGGTGTGTCTTTTAGTATATAATTATTGGTGATATATAAATTTAAAAAAAAAAAAAAACCTTTAAGGACACACCAAGAGATGACACGTGTCATTGTTGGTGTGTCTTTTAGTATATAGTTATTGATTGATTGATTATTGATGATATTGGGATTTAACCGAAATTTTTACAATTCTATCTCAGTTGCAAGTTCTAACAACTCGAGTGATACATTTGGCTGTACTTTTATCACCTGAAAATTCTCATACAATCGTCGGTAATCTTATTGATAGTTTTTTTTTTAAATTGTAATTTGGAATTGCAATTGTTTAAATTCGTGCTGATTTTATAATTTGAGATTTGAATCTTCATATTGAGATTAACCGATTTGCATAATTTGCTTTCATGAATTAGATTGCTCTTTTTGATATTGAGATCTGAAATTCAATTGCATGCAATGGGGATATTAATTCTTGTATAAAAATAGTTCTCATACTCTTAATAATTAAGATAATTGTAAGCCGCTTTACTAGTATGTATTGTTCATAACATTAATATTATTAATTATATTCAATTGCTTTCATGGAATGTCAGCTACCATTAAGAATAAACTACTACTTAACTTAACTTACAGTGTGTAAGAGGTTTCATAAAATTGATTCTTGGATTTTGTTCCTGGTTTACTGCTTTCATTTATGCTTTCACAAATAATGCTAGTATATTTTCCGTCCTCAATTATTAATAAATCGTTGTTTAAAATCGCTTATTATTAAAAATATATACTTCCACCGTTTTTAAATACTTGCTCTATTTTCTTTTTTAAAAAGCTTTTACAATATTTAATTCATTTCTCACACTTAGTGGTCCCAAGTAGAGATGACAATGGATCGGATTCGGATCGGGTGGAGCTTCACCCGCATCCATCCATTACTTTAATCGCTCCATCCATATCCATCCATCATCCGCTTCACCCATCATCCATATCCGTCCGTTCATCATCTGCGGATGAAACGGGTGGAGCGGATGATTAATGGGTAAATATTAAAATGGAAAAAAAAAACTCACATAAACTCTAAATTCGGTTATTTGTACAATAATTTTTTTATTTTATTAATTAAAAATGAAACAATAACAATATATGTTTGAAAAATTAAGTTGCAACATAAAAAATAAGTAATTTTCTTGCACATTTAATATTTTATTATTAAAATTCTTAAATTAAAAAATCTAATATATGTTAAATGGGTGGGGGATGGTTAGCGGATGAAAAAAGTATCATCCACATCCGATCCGATCCATCACCCGCTTCATCCGTCACCCGCTTTTCATCCATTTAATTCGGGTTTTCATCCATATATTTATAGCGGGTGGAGCGGGTTTGTGGATATCCACTTAATATTGCCATCTGCCCATCCCTAGTCCCAAGTCCCAACAAAATATTCCCTCTCCTTCAATTCTTCCACTACTTTTACTTTTTATATTTTTTTATTGTCTCAACTACCCCACTACCTTCATATTTTATTATTTTCTCCAATATCTCCTAAAACTCCGCACATGAAAAAATGGGACAACGGACAAATATTTAAAAACGGAGGGGTATGATATTTTCAATTAATGACATAAGGTAGATGTTACTAAAAATTTAGAAATTATGACTTTGATTTATATAAAAAGTTTAGCATCTTGAAGAGGATAATAACTATGGGGCTTGCCCCTCGTTTCCAATAATAAAAAAAAAAGGGGATAATACCTATGAAAGCATAAGGAAAATAAAAGAACTACACCGCTTAAAACGTGCAGGGGTTGGACATCACTGGTTGGTTGACTTCGCGAATACAATAAGGCAGCTTTGCTAAGCTATACCACTCTTTAGCTCTATAAGCTTGAATTTTTTTTTGTCTCATAATCATCGTAATCGACGGGATTGTCTATAAATGGTGGTCCTGCAGGCTCCATGAAAGCGCTGTCAACGGACGAAGCATCACCATCACCATCATTTTCTAGTATTAGTTCTCCATCAGGTTCAAATTCTTTGTCACGATATTCCCTTCCCAGATATCCCCTACACTCTTCCTGCAATAAATCCATGTTAACCTCCTGTTGTTGATCAGATGATGAATTGTTTTGATGACTTGGTTGTACAGAAACAAGACTCTCGGTATAGGCAAGAACAGGATAGTCTAGAATAAGAGGGAGCGATTTCACTTGTTGTAGTGGGACCAAATCATAGCATTTTAGCTCTTTGTCTTTGCCGTTGTGAAACACAATTAACCTGTTGTTCCGCAGCAGCATTGATGGAGTAAACAAGACGAATTCAGGAATTGTGACAGATAGTTGTTTGCTCCAATACCCTGCACGGCCATACTTTTGTAAAACCCATAAGTCTATGGTCGATGTAGGCTGTAACCAGCTGCTGTCCAAAATATAAACGGCAGGATACATGTTATCAGAGTCAGAGCCACGATCCAAAAACCCATTTGGACAATAAGGCAGACTGGTCTGCAAAAAAACCTCATCAACCATGTCAAAAGAGAGAAGAAATGTGCGACATATCCAATGGCACATACGACCTTTAGAGAAAACATTATTATGAGAAACCCATACTGTGTTCATTGTTTCGACATGGAGCTCCCTCCAGCAATTAGCAGCAAGGGAGTATATCAGTATCCCCTTCCTAATGTTAACTCCAACTCCAACTCCAAGACAGGGTTTAGTACCATAAAAACAAACAACCTTGAAATCATTGGTTTCGGAGTCAAACCCGAAACCAAGATTTTGATGAATAAGATCATCTGCTAAACTGGGCAGCTTAAACACTTGTCAGAGTAGCCGGGTTCCAAAACAAAAGCATTGTCTCAGGAGGACCTGTTCTGTGGAAATAGACAAAGAAAACGCCATTACAAGGGCCGGAAATATTGATATATTTGATTACGTCGCGATGATCAATACCCAACTTGGGTTGTTTATACGAGAGGACAGCAGGTCTAATCTTAAATGCAGTTTCAAATGTAAAATTTTCGTAAGAGAAAACAGAAAACCAACAAGCACGGGAAAATTCGGTCAAAAAAGAATCATAACCAAGATTTGAACGAGTAGCATAATGTTTTGATACAAATTCTGAGGATTTTATGAGAGACCGCCAATACTTACATACACTCGTAAACCGAATCAACGATTTCACCGGTAATTTAGCAAGTATCTCCATCAACACATCACGTGGGAGTTCCATATCAAAAGATTTTTATCAAGATTATACTGTAAAGAATGAATTGCTAGTATACGAAAATCAAGAGGAGAATCAATTTAAAAGAGAGTGAGGAACACTTTTAGAAAGAGGGGTAGGGTTTCCTCAAAGAGGAGGTAGGGCTTTGGCGAAATTAGAAGATAATAATTGCAGAAGCAAGGTAAAGAATTTACACGCAAGTAGTATTATATAATGAAATAGATAAAGTTTAACCTTTAGCTATTTTTGGGATAACTTCTAAATATTTTTGGGATAACTTAAACTCTAATATGATAAGTTTTCTAAGGGTAATTTTAAATATCACAAACTTTAAAAAAAAAATCGGATAAGTTTTCTAAAGGTAATTTTAAATTTAACAAACTTTAAAAAAAATCGGGTGTACAATAATTATTGTACATCCACTATAAAGATAGACTAATTTGATCAAAAGTTACCCCTGAAATAAATAAAAGTTACCCTAATATGCATAAAAGTAATTCAATACAAATAAAAATTATTAATAAAGAATCACATTTTAAATGACTAAAAATCAATTATTAGTGATTGAATGTAATTAAATTACCATTATAAAACATTTCTTATTGTCTGTGGGCGTGTTCGGTAAAGTAACGGTTGACTAGCTATTATGTATAAAAAACAATATTTTATTTTTAAAACTATATATAGATTAAATTTTCAACAGCTACCTCTAATTCCAAAAGCTAATCTTTCTAACTTTTCACAAAATCTACCTCCACCACTAAGGGCGTGTTCGGCGCTAGCGTTTGAGTAGCTTTTAGGTAGCTCAAGTCAAACCACTACTTAATAAAAAAATGTGAGTGTTTGACATAGTGGTTCGGGAAGCTTTTAGTGGTGGAGGTAGCTTTTTTGAAAAGTTAGAAATATTAGCTTTTGAAAGTAGAGGTAGCTTTTTAGGTAGCTATTGAAAATTTAATATATAGTTTTAAATATAAAATATTGATTTTTATATGTAACAGCTAGTCGACCGCTACTTTACCGAACACTCATATCTAAATTATCTATATTCACAGCTACAGCTTGTTAACAACTAAAAGCTACCTACACAATTTACAACTGCTATATTTTGCCGAACACGCCCTAAAAGCTACCCTAACCACTACTTTGCCAAACACTCACATTTTTTGTTAAGTAGTAGTCAAACCACTAAAAGCTACTCAAAAGCTAGCGCCGAACACACCCATAAATATTTATAAAAATTGTATTATGTTTAAAGTTAACCAAAAAAAGGCAAAAAGTTACCCTAAAATTAAGTAAAAGTTACCTTTATACTGCTCGATGTACAGTAATATTAGTGTAAAGCGGGTGTATACAAAAGTTTTTGTTTAAATTTTTACCTATGTGGTAATTGAATTTAAGTTGCCATGTCTAATTCATTAATTTTTACTAATATGGCATTGAATTATTTTTTAATAATGATGAACGTGAAGAACAAATTCATCAAAAATTATTCTCATGGATTGTAAAAAGTTTATTTAATAAACTTCTCTAAGCAAGTGAACTTATTACAAAATTTGTTTAACCTCCATTCTCCTTTACCTAACCAAATGACCATGTGGTTTCAAAAAAAAACAAATGACCATGAAGAAACACAGTATCAGATATCACCATGTGGCTGTTATTACTATTACGGAGTATTATTGAATTTAGTATAGTTCAGGACTTCAGGTCATTTTGTTTTAGTTCAACTCTATAAATTTCAATCCATCAATATGGACCCTAAATAATCATAGGAGTAATAAAACCATATAGCTATTTGATATTCGTTATTTTTCAACTTTTTTGCATGTTGCATATGAATATAATCAATTAGTGATTGCTGTATAGTAATTGTTCGTAAGAATAACATAATCAAACACTCCAACTCTTAATTAGTGGCAACATACAGCAGCATGTTTGCTATGGTTTCAAACACTCCAGCCATTTCACATTAGTGATATTCTATGCCCACCACATAAAAACATATTATGGGTTCGCTACATAAAAACTTTAGAACTCATGTTTTGACAACTGACTCAACTCAAGATGAGTGCAGTAACTTCTTATAATCTTGGAATGTCCCACGGAAAGGTGTCACGATCCCATCAGACACTGCCCACAGCTCATCAACACTGTTGGAAATTAAGTGTTCATCGTGACTAACCTGCATAGACATAGACATAGACATCACTTATCCAGTTAGGGATTGTTGTGTTTGTGCTCCAATGGTTGGTTTGGTACAGGTTATAAGTAACATTCAAAGGCAATGGTAATGAGTTAGGAAAGTTTCGCAACAACGTCCATGATAGTGCAATAAACAGTTATGATGAAAATTTCAACACATAATTAGAGGTGAGGAAGCATTATCACGGACAATGTTGGACTTAACATCATTACCATTACTATCAATTGGGGCAAAACAGCCATAAAAAAAAAAAAAAAAGTATCAATAAATGGTAGCTATAGGCTACAGCCAAATGAAAGAAAATAATACCATCAGTATTCCTCCTTGGAACATAACAAGACCCTGGATAAGAGCTTCTACGGCATCCAAATCCTGCAGTTAATTTAAATTACCATAATCAAATAATGTCTTGAAATTTTAATTGAAACGTCTCCTACATAGAACAGTAAACCCACAAACCACATTGAAGGATTCTTCACATAACTTGCCAACTGCTATTTTTAAAGGTTGGCAATCTTCTACTATGAACAAATGTATGATGACAGAACAATATTGGGAAATAGCAGAAACAAATCAAGCTGATATAGCAAATACATTTACTAATTGTTAACCTTTAATATGAACAAATAAGTCAATCCACATTATTTTCATATTTTTGTGACATGTCAGACACAAACTGGAAAAAAGAAAATGTCAAGCCCACATTTTTTCATTATTTTTGACGCGAACTACATACAGAAATGGACTATGCAACAAAGAACTCGACTTTTCAATTCATAAAAGTTTGTTAATTCAATAATTCATCCACCTGATACATTTAAGATTTTGAGGGCACTGCTGCCTCACCCATGGTTCAGCAATTTAGCACTCTGTTATACGAAATACAAAGTAAACAATAATCACAACGATGAAAATACTTACAAGATGATTTGATGGCTCGTCCAGCAATAATAAATGTGGCTTCTTGAAAGTAATCTTTGCAAAAGCTACTCTGCTCTTTTGACCACCTGTTACAAAAAACCATTCTATCCCATTAATGGAGTCCCAAAATTTCAACAACCATAAATTGCAGGATCACCGAGAAGCAGACAAGATTAAGTAAAAAAAAATGAATCAGAATTGGATCGCATCCATCCTGCAAGCTACGAGAAAGTTTCCACTATGACCAGCATACCAATATGCTGAAAAGGAACATACCAGATAAGGTGTACATTGGCTGAAGTGCAAGATTTCCAGTTATACCAAATGAACCCAAATGACCTCTCAACTTCTGTTCAGGAACACCCTGAAATATTAACATATATAAAGTTTTCAGAATAGTCCGGTCAAATCTTTCAAGTATACAATGAAAGTCACTAAATAAAGTTCTCCATCATAAATTCCCTACTCAACATGTTCACCAATTTTGCACATATTTCTCTATGTCAAATTATTTAATAAAAGCTACTGATTAGTGACTAAGTAGGTAACTGCATCGGAAAGTAACTACAGTTTAATGCCAAAAAATGTTGCCTGGGGTCCTACTGAAAGTCTGAAACTGTGGACACCTTAAAAATCGGTTCTTTCTCATCGGATAGTGGGAAACATAGATAACATAACATCCTAGGCCGAGGGATTCTGATGGAAGCAGCAACTGCCAAATCAGATTCTTCAACAAAACTTAATGAAAGTACTCAACTAGATAGACCAATCCTTCTTCTCCTGCTTAAGCCAAGAATGCAAAGACACCAGCTACTACTATTACAAGTTCACAATCTCTTGACCTGTACTGCCTTAACAGAGTCTGCTGGGACATCTTTGCTACATTTTCCTGAAACTGAGACTAGGGGTGGCAATTCGGGTCAGCAGGTCGGGTTCGGGTCAGATTTCGGGTCGATTTCGGGTTATGCTAAGAAACTATTAAAAATAGTGTAAAACTTAATATTATTACGAAATATGAAATTTGGGGCAAATCGGGTCGAATTCGGGTTGTTCGGGTTCGGTTCAGGTCGGGTTCGGGTCTCTCTCAGTAACTTCGGGTCAGGTTCGGGTCGGGTTTTCGTGTCGGGTTAGGGTTTTCCAGCCCTAACTGAGACTTCTCGAGCTAACTCGGGGTTTTTTCTGAAGGCTTTTGCTTTAAAGGTATGTAATAGCTTATGTGAAGCTTTTGGCTAGTCTACTTTATTCCTAATCGCTTATGCGAAGCTTTTGGCTGGACTACTTTATTCCTAAACTGGATGAGGTCCAATTTTCCATTGTTCCATACACTTCAAAAAATTTTAATTTGCAATGTCATGAATATCACACTTGTCAATACTACAAAAAAAAAAAAATAATAAGACGAGTCTAACAAAATCCCACATCCCTAATCAAAAAACGAAAGAGAGATCCCACGTGACTGCATTTTTGCTTCAGTATAAATTAACAAAAAAAACAATTAAGGTTCAATATGTGAATAATGTAAGAGTCAAAACATTGCAAGTAAAAAAACAGAGGAAGAACCAGTGGCATAGTTGCATAAGTGGCTTCTCACAACCTTTACACTGTATGTCACAGCTGTTGTAGCATAATCTGTAAAGTTGATTTTTTTTTTACTTAATCATGGTTTTCGATAGTTTTTATAGATGTATATGAACATGTATTTTTGAGCACCTTAATTTATTAAGAACCGAGGGCAAAACATTCATAGTGACCACAAAATGAATAACAATTATCTAGACATGTAGAAATTAATATTATCAATGTGAATAGCAGCTTTATTGCTACAACTAAAGACATAAGAAAATAGCCAATAATAAACCAACATCAAGCTCTGAATTTATTG